GCTATTACAGAGCGGCTGTAGTTGAGCAGAATTACCTACCAACTCTTGCCTTTGGAGCACTCTTGGTGGTTCCCTCAGTTCCCTTCCCGTCCCCTTATGTCTGCTGAGTCTTAAGGGCCCACAATCGGGCCAAGATGTTGAAAAGAACTACATATTCAGAGGGTAAACATGAGGCATGACGTTTTGTGAAAGCCTCACCCACAAGTTAGAAGGTGCACTGAAGGTAGCTTCTTTCATTTCCTCATGAACCGGACAAAAGGAAACTGATGAGTGATGCTGACCACTTAGGTTCTTATCAGCTTTCTCCTTACCATCACACCACCAATCCTTTTGCTTCTGGAGTGGAATATTCTAGCCCCATGCACCATCTTCTTACTCCTAAAAAATGGTTTACTGTCAAAAGACAAAAATCTCCGATAGGGTACAAGCCCACAGTCCTGCTTTTTCCAGAGGCATCTTCTCTTGTTATGCTAGCCACCAATGCCACAATACCTCAGACCTCACCCTCCAGCCCCTGGAACCCTTGCCCCTTCCCCTAGTCACAGCCCTGATCTCCCTAGAGGCATTGCTTCCCAGTCCTCTCTCCTCTTTCCCAAGCTCCGTTGTTCACCATTGCTACTGGTAATATATTCTGATTTCATTGTCCTGTGGGCATAGTCTGGATATTGGTATTTATTAAATTTTTTAAGCCTTACTAGGTGGTTATGATGTGGTATGCAACAGCCAGGGTTAAAAATCACTGTGTAAATGGTGGTTAGGTTTGAGAATTCCATTAGAAGTTGAGTTCCATTTCATTATGAATTAACTTAGCCTCTGAGAATTCATCTGAGAATCTAACCGCTGTTTTAAAATTTGTCTCTTTAGGAAAATGTATCCCAATTTATACACAGCTGAATTGCAAACGAACTGGAAACGTGCCAGTAAGGACTACTTGTTGGCAAAGGTGCTCCATCTATCCAAGTCGATTATGTCTGGCACATAGTAGACACTCAATTTGTCCAACTTAGTTGAATAATTTTGGAATGCAGCCTGTTCCTAAGTAAGAATCTGCCAACATAATTTTTCCCAAAACATTTTAAGCATTTTTGCTGATGTTTTCTCAATGATGATGTAACAGAGAGACTCCATGATGTGTCTAAGGATATACCAAGGAGATGTCAGGAATCCAACCCAAATTACCACTTGAAGTTCCTTACCGTATTAGTCTATTCTCACACTGCTGCAAAGAACTACCTGAGATTGCCCCACAAAGAAATCCGCAAAGAAAAGAGGTTTAGTTGGCTCATGGTTCCATGGGCTGCACAGGAAGCATGGCTTGGGAGGCCTCAGGAAGCTCACAGTCATGGCAGAAGTCAAAGAGGAAGGAGGCACATCTTACATGCCCAGAGCAGGAGGAAGAGAGAAAAGGAGGAGGTGCTATACACTTTTAAACAACCAGGTCTTCTGAACTCACTAACTATCCCAAGAACAGCAACGGGGAAATCCCCCTTCTCCCCATGATCCAGTCACCTCTCACCAGGCCCCTCCTCCAACACTGGGGGTTACAATTCAACATGAGATTTGGGAAGGGATACAAATCCAAACCATTCCACTCACAGACATCCATGTCATCATTTACATCCAGAGCTGGGTCTTAAACTCCTTTTTCTAGTCAGTTGACCCACAGCTCAGTTAGAACCCTGACTTGATCTGGTAGAATTGAAATGTGCTCTGTGCTTTTTATAAATAACAAATTGTAGCAAAGTCCTGGCCATATACAGTATGCCTTAGAAAGGAGAATAAATGATGCAGAAGCTCCAAAAAATGGCAAGATGTGCTTCTGTAATTTATTGAACCCCCCCCCGGAGATATATCAACATCAAGAGGCTTATTCATTCTTAAATCTCTGAAATCACAAGGGGAAATATCAATTTAACTAAATTAATCTCAATGTCTTAAATCTTCACTGCAAAGCAAACTCTCAGAAAATTAAGAGTGTCATTTGTACCATCCTTCAGTTGTAAAGCACACACCTAAGGGACTCTGGTGGCAGTTACTGTCTCAAGTCATCCCACAGATGCAGGCAAGCCCGTCCTCTTGCTTTCGTTTGCCTCCATGCATCCACTTACTGCGATGGCTTCCAGTTTCACAATCAGCAAAGCCCCACGGTGACATCTGCATGCCAGCCTCCCATAGGAAAGTTTCCGTAGTTGCGTGTCAGCACAAAGTTCTTTCAATGATGTTGAGCCTCAGAAGTGTCATTTCATTTATCAGAAGGCTACTTTTTGGTTTTGGACTTGCCACTTCTTTAAGTAGCCTTGAGCAGAGAAGAGCAGCTGCTGTTCACCTGAGGCTGCATTTGGAGCAATTCTCCAAAACTAGCATGCTGTGAATAGGACTGGTGCATTCGGGTGGTACCCAGATTTCTGTGAAAGTCTTTTTAAAATTGAACAGTTGATTTGCACATTGTCAGAGAAGGAAAACTAAGCGCTCACAACCATGGTGTTAAGTACTGTTTCCTTCTGCTCGTGGTCCAGGAATTAATGGCGATATTAATACAGCCACAGAGTGTGTCAGAGAATGAATGGCTCCAGCTCCTGAATGATTTTGTTTGATTAATTAATGGATGAATTTGATGGGGCACCTCATTGTCCAGGAGATGAATGGCACTCTTGACTTTTAGCTCTTCCTGATCCTGCATGCCCTGTTAGTCACTGAGTTGTGTTCATTCTTTCTGCATGTTGTCTTTTACATCTGTTTCTTTGCTTTCCACATGACTAAAACCCAGCCCATAAGGTGACTTGGGTACAGAGCTCAAATTAGTACCTCCACCCACTGTGGAACATCCACAGGGGAATGACGTGGTGACGTGGCTCACACAGCAAAGATTCCAGTCCCAGGGAACCAGCCTCACCCCCTAAGATGTCCCTTCACAATGTTGGTATATTCTATACAATCACAAAAAGGGGAGGCAGAAAAGGGGGTAAAATTAAAAAAAAAAAACATGCAAGCATGGCTATGGAGAAAAATATGCTTTCTCATGTCCCTAACCAATAATTTTATCTAGTCACAGGTGTCTTTATTGTGGAAATGGCCTCTCTGTATTTCCCTGTGAGGTGTGGGAACTGAGAAAGTACAGCTGGGTTAGACACAAAATCAATATCGTCTGATTCAGCCTCAACAATTCATCGTGGCACTTTCCCATGTCATCTCCTTCAAGAAGGCAATGCAACAGGAAAATCAGATTTTTCTCTAATCAAGGGTAAGGAATGATTTTTAGCTTTGTGAGAATCAAGGAACTTCAAAGAACTCAGTGTTGGCTGTAATATTGCAGGCATTCAAATCCTGATTTCATATTGCAACAGACCGCCAAAATTTTCCTTTGATTATTATTATTTTTTGCTGTACACTACTAGAGAAGAAACAGCATACAATAAGCATGTTAAACATACGCCTGCAATGTGGAGGGATCCTTGGATGGATGAATGGATTGTAAGTTTCTCCCAACAATTCACTTAGATCAATGTGCTTCTCTGAAGGGAGGAGCCGGGTGTGGAGAGGGGCAGAGGGAACCACTTTGCTGTTGATCACCACTGTTTTCTTCTACTATACATGTTTCTTGTTTTCAGCATTCATCACACTACAGAGAATAACTCCGAGATACATAATCTTAGCAGTTTCCTTTTTTGTCTCAAAAGAAACACAACTAATATTTGGCCAAATAACTGTATTATGTACAATTTGTATTTTAGATGAAGGCACAAGCTACCCAGCATATGAAGAAACAATAGAGAATACTGGCAACTTATCAAATTATTTAGAAAAATACAATTTTGAATATTAATATAGTAATTTTCAAAATTTAATATATTGAAGTGTCTGAGACCATTATTATACCTTAAGAGTACCAGGATAAGGAGAGGTGAAAAAGTTTCCATGCTCAGAAACCCCAACTAAAAATGGATTTAAAAACAGACACATATAGTGCCTGAGGATATATAGGTGTGTGTGTGTGTGTGTGTATAAATATATCTCACCTGGAAAAAAGATTAATTCTCTCATTTTAATTTATGCTCCACCTTTTAGAAATGCATCTATTGCATGAAAACAGGGAAAGATGACACACGTCTTTATTTAACAAACACCATGTACTCATTCACAAACACCAAACACATAGCTAGGCAGCTGCTATGAGGCTGGAATGCATGGCTAAGGTATTTCGCTTTTTCTTTTCTTTTCTTTCTTTCTTTTTTTTTTTTTTTTGAGACAGAGTGTCGCTCTGTTGCCAGGCTGGAGTGCAGTGGTGCGATCTCAGCTCATTGTAACCTCCACCTCTAGGTTCAAGCGATTCTCGTGCCTCAGCCTCCTGAGTAGCCAGGATTACAGCCATGCGCCACCAGACCCAGCTGATTTTTGTATTTTTAGTAAAGACAGTGTTTCACCATGTTGCCCAGGATGGTCTTGATCTCCTGACGTCATGATTCATCCACCTCGGCCTCCCAAAGTGCTGGGATTACAGACGTAAGCCACTGCGCCTGGCTGGTATTTTGCTTTTTAATGAAGAGTAATCCCCATACCAGGAAAGAAGGTATATATCAATTTTTATGTGTTTTTATGCCTAAGCCCTTAGTTGTGTGAAGTATTTTGTTTATAATAGTATGGCATCTCCCTGAATAAAGAGTTCTGTGACTTGGGGAGGAACTGGTCTCAGAAGTGGACTTAACACTCCCTCTCCCCACTTACAGACTGTAAATGTCCAACATTCTCTCAACACGGCCTCAAAGAAAGTGTTTTTAAAACAGGATCAATACTCTTCCACCTCTTCTTGGGATTCTAGACTTCACAATTCACCTGCCTCTGTTGCCTCCCTCCCTCCCCTCCCTCCAGGCCTTCATACTTGTCACCCCACTTTGTTCCCAGCCTCAGGGACAACAGGCTCAGGGAGAAGTTTGATTCTCCTGCCTGGGATTCTATCATTTCCCGCTTCCCTGACCTGACTTTGATGCTTCCCCGTTCTGCAGTGAACTGGAGTGACAAGAGCAAGGAGTGATTGCTTCTAAGCAGAGTAGGCTGTCTGAACCATCAACCCTCTGGGGCAAAGAGCAATCGTGTTTACTCACAATGAGGAAAAATGGAGACACTTGAAGCCTCATCAGTAAAGAAAATAAAACCAACAGAGGGGTTTAATTACAAGCTCACTGACAACCGGTTAGCACTGTGTTTGGGTTAATTTCTCTTTTGGCTATTTTGTAGAAAATATTTCAAATTAAGAAAATAAAATCCCACGATAATTCCCCATGCTGCATAAATTGTCCCAGAGCCCAGAAAAATGTGGAACATTTCCCAATTCATATCACCAATCGAGCATCACACTGACACTAAAATCAGAGAAAGAGCCAAAAGGGGGCCGAGACAAAAAAATGATAGTACCACCCGCTTTATAATTAAAGACTCAAAAATCCTCAATTAAAACCCAACCAACTGATCTTAACACTAGATTAAAAAGCCACACTCCATAGCCAAGAAGTTTCTATTTCAGGAGTGCAAGGACGATTTAATGTAAGGAAAGCTATTAATATAACACTTCTCAAGTGTGTTAGATTGAACCAAGTCAAGGGGATGCTAATAAGTGTTATGTGGGGGATGGGGGACAGGTAATGTTTGGAAATGAAGGGTTTAACAAAGTTAATGGAATTCTTGACTACTGGACTTCTTAGTACCTTTAGTATGCTAATGAGCTAATTAATCTCCAAGAAGAAAATATACTATGTAGCATTTCCCTAAATTATTTGATCAGACAATAATCTCCCCACCCTCAATTATTTTTATGGACCAGCCTGTGGAAAAAGTGTTCTCTAACAAACATTTTAATAACTCTTATATTAAACTAATTTATGATATTAGCCTTTTAAAGAAGAAACAACTTATCATTTCTTTGACAGATACCAAAAAGAATTTGATAAAATGCAACATCCAATCCAAATGTTTTAATCGCTGACTAAAGGGATATTTCTTTAAAACCTAGTAAAGAACACCTCTGTTGAACTAATAGCCGGCATCACAAGAATTGTAAAAATATTAGCAATATATGTTATTAAAATTAGGAACAAGAAAAATGTGTATACTGTTATCTCTTTTTCATTAAGGTTGACCTGGCAATTTTAGTGAATGGAATTAAGACATGATATGTTAATGATGAGAAGAAACAGAAATATTATACCCAGATGAAATAATTGTTTAAAAATACTGGAAAGAAACTAAAAACTATTCAAATAAGGAGTTTGATAAAATGGCCGAATACAGAACCATGTGCATTTAGAAACAAATAGTTTTCTCAGCACTGGGATTACAGGTGTGAGCCACCGTGCCTCAAAAAATAATAGCTTTCTCTTATAACCAGAAACGACAGTTAAGTACAATGAACCAAAATAATCCTACATTCCTAATAACAGCAAAAATATTTTTAAAAACCAAAGAATCCTCTTAATAAAAATTTGTGGGACTTTCAAGACTGGACTACCAGTTTTACTAAATGGGAGGACTGAAAGCTGCAGACATGTAAATTCTCCCCAAATTATTAATATATTTGAGTACAATTCTGGTCAAAATTCCACTGGTGCAAAAAAAAAATCAGGAAAGAAAAATACATTGACAAAGTGAGGATAAAATGTTGGTCACATAATGGAATTCAAATGGGTTAATGTTTTTAGTATAAAAATTGCACTTTTAAACTGATTGTAGAAAGACAAACACTGAAGGAAGAAGAAGCGGGCCAGGTACACACACACACACACACACACACACACACTCTTCCAGCTCAGGGCTTTTGATCTTTTCCTGACAACAGTTCCTTCTGAGAGGGTTCTCTCTTGCCCACCCTACATCAAATATCAAATGCCTTCATGCCTCACCAGGGCACTTCCTAGTCTTCTCATCCAACTTCACTTTTCTCCACAACATTTATCACCACTCAAAGTAGTAGAGATTTTTAAATTTATTGTCTTTCTCCTCCCATTAGACTGCACATTTCATGAGTGTTGTTTATTTGGTTAATCTCTGTTTTCCCAGGATCTAGGGTAATACTTCTTATATAATAGAGGCTCAATAAATATTTGTTGATTGAATGAATAAATACCATTTACTCTCCTGTATTTATTTAAAGTATTTTCTAAAATAGTTAGACACTGACTAATTTATTTTAATGTGTGACTAGTGTTTTCATTCATATCAGTATGTTCATGCCTTAGGTCCATGTATTTAAAGATACCTCATTAGCTTGGAAGGCACTTGATATTTGGTAATGAAATTGTACTTTATATGAAGCAAGACGCTAAAGCTTTGGGTAGAAAACCACATTTTAGTTGGAGATTGTCACAGGCCTATGAAAACTCCCATTTGTGTGGACTGATTGGCTCATCTCAGTAATTTAAGAGAAACTGTCACCTAGCAGCAAGCCGGCTGCCAAAGATAGAATAGCTGCAAAAGATAAGAGCTGCAAATGCTACATTTGCTTGGGCAATCATGGGGCCATATAATGTACAGAACTGCTGATTCAGAATCAGAGCTGCAGGTTAGGGCTGTGGAGTGTGTCCCCTACACATGAGTACTGGGCTAGGGGTTGGGCAGAGGCTGGAAGTGTGTGGGACCAGAAATTCTCCTTGTACAAGACTTGCACCTTGGTTCTGTCTGCATCAACCCAGAAGAAGAAATACTATGATGTTGTGATGTACTAAGAAATAAACACTTGATCTTTGTCCCCAGTCCCTGCCACAGAAGTCCTAAAATTCTTGTAATTTCCTGAGTGATAGGGATGATAGGAATATCCTTTGTTATTATATTTGGTCTTAGTCCCTAGTTTGACACAGCACTTCTAAGACCCTTAGAATCTCCAGAGTAATATGAATGCCTGGTGAGTGGGCTCCCTAGACAGCTTCAGGATAGAGCTAGTTGCCAGGGGAACCAATCATATGATTAGACAATTAGAACATTCAGCCTCATCCCCCACCTCAGGGGATAAGAGAGGAGCTCAAAATTGAGCTCAACCATCAATGGCCATTGATTTAATCAATTCTACCTACATAATGCAACCACCATAGAACCTCTCAACAATGGAGTTCCAAGAACTTCTGGGTTGGTGAACACGTGAAGGTTCTGGAAGGGTGGTGGGCCCAGGGAGGGCATGCAGCTCCCCATCTCACAACCTTTGCCCTTTGGATCTCTTCCTTTTGGCTGCTCCTGAGTTGTATCATTTCTAATAAACCAGCAATAGTAAATAAACTGCTTTCCTAAGTGCTGTGAGGAAAATTATCCAACCTAAGGAGGAAGTTGTAGGCAGCACTGATTTATTGCTGATTGGTCAGAAATATGAGAGGCCCAGGTTTGCAACTGACATTCGAAGTGCAGGGCAGCCTTGTGGGGCTGAGGCCTTTAACTGTGTGGTCTGTGCTAACTCTGGGTGGTGTCAGAACTGAATTGAGTTATAGTAGACCCAGCTGGTGTCAGAGAATTGGTCAGCATGGGAAAAAACTCCACATATTTGGTCTCCAGAATTGTTGTAAGTATAGAGAAACACATTTTTTCTTTTAGTTGCCGTTTAGTAACACCTCACCTACAAAGATCTTCTTTTCATTTTTTTTTTTAACTCTTTTTATTTTAAGTTCTGGGGTACACGTGCAGGACGGGCAGGTTTGTTACACAGGTAAACATGAGTCATGGTGGTTTACCATACCTACCAACCCATCACATAGGTATTAAGCCCAGCATGTATTAGCTATTTTTCCTGATACTCTCCCTCCTCCCCCTCCACCCTCCAACAGGCCCCTATGTGGGTTGTTCTCCTCCCTGTGTCCATGTGTCCTTATTGTTCAGCTCCCACTTATAAGTGAGAACAAGTGGTATTTGGTTTTCTGTTCCTGCATTAGTTTGCTGAGGATAATGGCTTCCAGTTCCATTCATGTCCCTGCAAGAAACATGATCTTGTTCCTTTTTATGGCTGCATGGTATTCCATGGTGTATATGTACCACATTTTCTTTATCCAGTCTATCATTGATGAGCATTTGTGTTGATTCCATGTCTTTGCTAATGTGAATAGTGCTGCAATGAACATATGCATGCCCATGTCTTTATAAAGAATGATTTATATTTATTTGGATATATACCCAGTAACGGGATTGCTGGGTCAAATGACATTTCTGGTTCTAGGTCTTTGAGGAATCACCCCATTGTTTTCCACAATAGTTGACCTAAGTTACATTCCCAACAACAGTGTAAAAGCATTCATATTTCTCCACAGCCTCACCAGCATCTGTTGTATCTTGATGTTTTAATAATTACCATGCTGACTGGCATGAGATGCTGCTATTTCATTGTGGTTTTAATTTGCATTTCTCTAATGATCAGTGATGTTGAACTGTTTTTTACATGTTGGACACATAAATGTCTTCTTTTGAGAAATGCCTGTTCATGTCCTTTGCCCACTTTTTGTTGTTGTTGTTGTTTTGAGATGGAGTCTCGCTCTGTCACCCAGGCTGGAGTGTAGTGGCATGATCTTGGCTCACCGCAACCTCTGCCACCCAGGTTCAAGCAATTCTCCTGCCTTAGCCTCCTGGGTAGCTGGGATTATAGGTGCCCACCACCACGCCCTGGTAAGTTTTGTATTTTTAGTAGAGACGGGGTTTCACCATGTTGGCCAGGCCGGTCTGAAGCTCCTGACCTCAGGTGATCTGCCCGCCTCGGCCTCTGAAAGTGCTGGGGTTACAGGCGTGAACCACCGTGCCTGGCCCTTTTCCCACTTTTTAATGAGGTTTTTTGTTTTTTTCTTATAAATTTGTTTAAGTTCTTTGTAGACTCTGGATATTAGACCTTTGTCAGATGGAAAGATCACAAAAATGTTCTCCCATTCTATAGGTTGCCTGTTTGCTCTGTTGATAGTTTCTTTTGCAGAATCACCCTCTTCTTTTTTTTTTTTTTTTTACAGAGTCTCGCTCTGTCACCCAGGCTGCAGTGCAGTGGCACAATCTCGGCTCACTGCAACCTCTGCCTCCCGGATTTGAGCAAGAATTACCTTTTTCTACTGTACACAAAGCTTAGGGTTATGACAGCACTGGCCGTCATGATAATCAAGACTTTCTGTAGTCAAATTCACCACTAGTTCAGACGCAAAGACAAAGATAAATTGTCAAGACTCCACAGCTGTCTCTGTCCCTCTTCATCGAACAGGCAAACTCCTAGTCATACTTTAATACCCAGAAATATCATCTTCTATCAACACCTTCTCCAACATGCCCAATAAAAGATGGCCACTTCCTTTTCT